GCAATGTCTGGCAGTGCCACAGCATCCAGCAACCACACAATGTCTCCCTTTGAACTGCGCAGCTCTCGAGGTAGCCAAGCTTCACCCTCACCCTGCTCCTCAAACAAACAAGGGACTGTGAGAGAAATGTCACCGGGGCTCGGGTTCCTCCCAAAGGTGCCCAGATGGTCTGACATCATCCCAGATGTCTCTGGGGCAGCTCTTTGACCCAAGGAAGGGCTCTCCCATGGGAGCGAGTCTCTTCCCATGCTCCAGCAGGCTTTAAGCAAAGTGAGGTCCGTCAGAGCCAGCCCCAAGGGCGAGGTGCAGAGGAACTGCAGCGGAGCTGAGGGAGTTCTCTTCCTGCCGTGGCTGGGGGTCCTGCAGCCTTGAATCACCTTGGCTGTGATGCAGGGCCCCTCAAGAAGAGCAGCAGTTGCGTTGCATGCGCAGGCATGGTGTGGAGGTGGCACTGGGAGCTGGCTTGGCTCTGTCCTTAGGGCTTGAGAAGGCGCTGCTTGCACATGGGTCATTTAGGAAGTGTGAGCCATTCATTCTTCAGCTGCCCAGCACATAAACTGTGATCAGTCCTTGGCAGCCATGGCCACCCCTCCTGTCCCCAGCCGCAGACCACGACTGTTCTGCTCCAGGTTTGGGGAATGGTATTTTGTAGCCCTGGAGGTGGCTGTCCCAAGCATTCCGATTCCTGCTGTGCTGACAGCTCATTCACCAGCACAGCTTCTCAATTCAAATGCATTGAAGGGGAATTCGGTCGCTACCTCTCAGCTCAATTTCACCCATGCTAATTTGAGGGGAAACAGAGGAAGCTTCCTCCACTGAGTTATCCTATGTTAAATCCTCATTTAGAACTTGCCTCTGATGGCTACAATCCATTCCCGGCCAGCAAAAATTGATGTTTCTCCCAGCTGTATGGCTGCTTCCTGCCCCTTTCCCCTTTAATCCTTTTTCCACCTTCCCTGCAGGAATGCATTTATCCACGCAAACACGTTGGAAGTGTTTTACCTGGCACAGCAACGGCACTGGATGCTTAAACTGATTCTCCTCAGTGCGAGTGGGTTAAATCTGTGCCCAGCTGACCCCCAACATGAACCGGAGTCATGCACAGCCGTGGAGGAACAACGTGGCCTTACCAGGGAGGAAGTGGTTAATGCTCTGCATGGCAGGGAAGTGCCTTTGGCCCCCGTTCCAATGCGGTGACTCACTGGGGCCAGGCGGGAGTGGAAGTTGCAAAGACCCCATCGGCAGCAGCAGCTTGGGAATCCCATGGCAGCCTCAGCCCTTGGCTTCTCGGGGCCAGGAGAACTTCCAGCTGTGGCCATACAAGGCCAAGAATGAGAAACCTGCTGTCCTGTCCTGACTGGAGCTGCTGCCAGGCACTCTCTGCACGAAGAGCTTTGCAGATCCTTGCCTGGGGGCTGATGGAGACTGGAGGAGCCCTGGGTCATAACCGCGCACACAGGGATTTCAAGCAGTGCCCTCTTACCAAGATATTCTCCTTATTTAAAGTCACTTGTGCCTGCCAGCTCCTGAATCATATCCAGCCCTCGGGGGAAGCCACATCCCTCTCTCACAACCCATTTATGCCTGAGGAATGGTGGCAGCAGAGTGTGTTGCCACCTTTTGTGGACTCTGAAGTCTTTAGTGTAAACCTGAGGGTCCTTATGGGTTTGGAGGAGAGATGGAAGCGCGCAAGATGAGCCAGGCAATTCAGAGCACTCTGGGAGAGATGGAGACCCAGTTCAGTTCCTTTTGGCTCCAGTAAGCACTATAGCGCTCAGGATTGGGCAGTATTAGGTCCTGAGATGAGTCCCACCGCCTCTATAGCTGAGCTGCTCAGCCTCTCGGAGGCAGTGCTGGGAGACAGGCACGTCCAGGCAATGACTCAGCTCATCCTAAACCCCATCCAAAACAGATGGGATGGATTACTCTCTGGAGGTGTCTTCCCCTGCCTAGGGAGGAATTAGATGCAATGCCCAGCTTTCTGATGACTGAGTTGGGAAAGCTGAATCCCACCCTTTATTTTTACTGGGGATGAGGTAAAAGCTACAGTAGAGTGAACCACATGGCCTCCCTCATTCTGTTTGCTTTGGAGCAAAACCACATACATATACACACTTGCACGTACGTTTGTGTGTCTATAACATAAATTCAAAGGGTGTTTTTATTGAAGTTCAGAGGCAAGCACATGACGGGGATGCTAGAATCCAGGCTGTCTGTGCGTGTGTATTAGAATACGATGGAACCTTTTCCTGGGAAAAACTGACTCAAACTCCATGGAAACAACTGAACTGTGACCAAAGAGACAACAAAGAAAGAGAGAATGACAAAAGGGGGAGAGAGACGATCCCAGCCCCGCGTTTTGCGCCTGTATAAGGGAGTGGAGAAGTGCTGCACCTTCTGCTTCAGTTCCCTCCTGAGCCCTTGTGCTGTTCCAGCTTGGATAGTGTGTACACCAAACTGCATTGTTTCGCCTTTTCTTTTCCCTTTCTTTTGGCTAAACACAGGCAAGAAGGTCAAAAGGGATTTCTGAGCACCCTGGAGGCGAGATGCAACAAGGCCAAAAGCAGGATGAGCTCTCCTCTTGCCTTGTTCTCAGAAACAACAGAGCTGTTTGGGCCCAGTCAGTCCCTCTGAGGAAAGTGCGGTTTGACAGAGCTGCAGCAACCTTAGAAGAGTTCTTTTTGTAATGGGGAAGGTCAAATGATGTTAATTGTAATCGGAGCTGTAATATGGATAACGGGATCTGGGGAGTTTCCCTCCAGATCACTGCTTCCAGGCACCTTTGCTTCTCTTCCTTCTCTTCCGCACTGGGAGCTGTTGTTTCTTGTTTTAACATCCCACCCAAATCTCCTTCAGCAGAGGTTGGCATGAAGGCCTGATCACACTCACATAGCACAGAAGCTTCATGTTCACTCGCTGCTTACTTTGAACCCGTTTTTGAGGGACAAATGCGTGGGCCGCTCTTGTTGTCCTGGAATGAACCCAGGAGTCCTTTTCCCCATCCACCGTGTGATTGCTGCTTCGCCCTTGTGTGTGCACAAGAGAGGTGGTTTGGCCTACGGGATAGCTGGAAACTCCAGGCTTTGGAAAGCTCCCATTCGTGGCTTTGACACCATCACTGAAGTAGCCTCTGCCTCGATTTCCCCTTCTGTAAAATGGGACTGAATTCGATGTTTGAGGGCCCTCTGAAGGGTGATGTCATGTGTTATGTGATGTACTCTTACAGTACGAAGGCTATTGTAAAAGAGGAGATGATGGGACACAAACCCTTCCCTTCTTTCTTCAAAGATCTGCTCTTCAGCTCATCTTGGCAAGTTCTCTTTGGACTGTTTGACTGGGGAGACAGCCTTTATGTTTGGGGCAGGCATTCATCTTCTTGAAGGTTTGTTTTGTGCACAGCTGGCAACTAAGCCACACATCGTCGTGATGTGAACCTAGTGGGGTTCTCCCCTCCTCTTTGAAAGAGATTCTTCCACCAGCATTTGGTTTCGTATTCTTAGCTGTGCAACACCCATAAAATGCATGGTGGTGAGACATGGAGTAATGTTGTAGCTAAGCAAATGGAGGGATGAGTCCTGAAATCCCTACGGGGGGAAATGGTTTATACAGAGGACAGAAACAGACAGGGAGGGACTCCAGAACTGGCTCCAAAATGTTTGAAGCTATGGGAAACGTTCCACTTCACTTCAGATGGACTGGAAGCCAAGTCACCAGCTGGGAGGATGAGAGATCCCACTGCGGTGGGTAATGTGTTTGCAGTTGCAGCATTGCATCATCAGCTTCAATGCAGAATCCAGAGGGATATTGATGACACAGCTTGAGCAGCCCTTTGAGCTCCTTTCCCGACTGTCTTTACATAGCAACATCAGGCCTAGGAGTATGTGACTTCCAGCACTGCTGATTGCCTTTTGTATTTTTTCTGGACAAGCCCTTCACGTATTTCCCTCATCGGCCTGAGAGAAACCTTTAAATGCTGCTGAATCCACCATATTATTTCCTTGGAATTTGAAAGGCTTAATGGTGGCCAAGAAGGGGCAGAGCCCATAAGCCGCTGATCCCTCCACTTACAGGTATTGCCTTATATTCGTCCCATGAATTTTGTGTCCAAATCCAGGGATAGAGGCTGCTTTGGGGCATCTTCTTTCATCTGGTCTTGCTGAGCTGAAGTTTGTTGTCATGTGAACACAGCTGCAAATCAGAGTTGGTCCCTCTGGGGAGAGCTGGACACATCTTCATTCTTCCTGTTGGCTTATCCTCGGCAGCCTGTCTTTCCCATCACTCAGGAAGCTTCACCTCTCACTATGAACTGGTCTTCCTATCAGCTTTCCTCACTCTGCCTATATTTATATAGGATGATAAACAGCGAGCAATATAATGTTGATGAAAACCAAGATGCCTGGGACAAAAGTGACTAGCAGGTAGAATTGCAATGACTAGTCAGGGCTTGTTTTCTTGGTTTTATATCTTAGTAATTCTTATTAATTCTAATTAATTTAATAGCTTAAACATTTGTTAATTGCTGGAACTATTCATTGGAGTATGTATATACCAGTTGGTATCCTAATTGTGAACAGAGCATTTGCATCCTTGGCATAATTAGAGGTATTTCAACTTGTAAGTACCCTTTTTAACTATATATCACTTAAAGCTTCCTGCAAGTCTAGAGGGAAGAACAACTCCATGAGGTTTTTAGTATTAGAAAACATTATTCAGTATCCCTTAGTTCAGGGCATGGGAGTCTTGGGATCTTTTATCCTAATTGCCATACATGATTTTTAAGCTATGTAAGATCTTTTGGACAAGAGTTGTTCTTGTGTCTTATATTTGCATCACATCTGGCATCACAGAGATGAGGCCTTGATAATGGGGAAGGACATCCCAGTTTTCTTCATGAGCCAAACTGGCACTGTAGAAATATCTGTAAGATCAGTAAATGTCCTAAGAGTTCAATTCTTCCCCACTAAATGTGTTGTGCTTACTGTTCTTTTTTCTCTTTCTAGACCAAAGAAGCTCTCTTCACAATCCTCCAGGACCTAAGGCCTGAAGACCACTTCAATATCATTGGCTTTTCCAACCGAATAAAGGTCTGGCAGCAAGACCGGCTGGTGCCAGTTACTCCAAATAACATAAGAGATGCCAAAAAGTACATTCATAACATGTCACCTACTGGAGGTAGGATTCAGGGATACAAATGAGATGAATTTTGATATCCAGCTACAGAACGGAGGGTGGTGAATGGTCCTGTATCAATAAAAGCACACTGGGGCTTAGGTGATGGAACAAAGGAGCCCCTTCCCCACCTGCACTTGGGGTTGTGTGACAGGAAGATGTGTGCCCTTTATCAGTATACCTGAAGGGAAGGTCTCCCCAGATCCAAACATATGACTTGATATACTTATTAAAGCCAAGCTGGACCCATTCTCCCATTTATCTGGAGAATGGAAAATTCCCGAGGCTGTTTCTTGAGCACACAGGAAAAAGCATCGTATCCCGATGAAGGACACACAAGGCCAGTACTGGGGCAGTTTCTGAAAGCTGTGTAAAAGCAGACACGTGGTTCTGTCTGGGCTGGGAACTTCTGGGCTGGACAGCCCAGTGTGGGCTGTGGGATTGCCTTCTGCAGGAGCTAGTTTCTTTCTCATCCCTTTTCGTGTGTACATCATTGCCAGGAAGAAAGAAGGGAAAGGAGAAGACCCCAGAACAGTGGCACTAGCATGACTTTGGATTTGATGATTCAGTGTTCTCCTGTGAGTCCATGAACATAGCACAAAAAACCCCAATAACATAATGGGGTTTGTAAGCAGACGTAATTTGGCAGCTGTGCCCATCCTAGCTGAGCGCTCCTCAGATAAGCTGCAAGCTGCAAATCCTTCCCCTTGGAAAAGTCAGCTGGTTGAGGGTCAAGTGGGGTCTTCCCATGGCTGCCCTTGAGCCCTGGCCACTCCTAGCAAAGGAAACCCTCTGATGGAAAAACACAGCAAACAGGATGGTTTCCATAACGTTCGCATTGTCAGAGGAAGAGTTTAGGAAGGGGTCAAGGGACCTGCCCAGTTAAACAATTACCAGTGGTGGGGCTAAACTCAGACTACAAAGCTTTTCAGTCCCGAAATACCAAGAGAGCTATGCAGGAGCCAGCTGAGTTTGCCCATGAGTGTGCCAGAGAGCAAAAGTAAAAGGAACCGATTAACTCGGGTTCAGCAGGAGGTGCAGTGATTCTCCAACACAGGCCAGCGGTACTTCAGTTTTGGCTAACTCTGCACTTCCATGGAATCCCAGCCTGCTTTGTGTTGGAAGGGACCCTAAAGCTCCTCCAGCTCCAACCCCTGCCACGGGCAGGGACCCCTTCCACTGGAGCAGCTTGCTCCAAGCCCCTGTGTCCAACCTGCCCTTGAGCACTGCCAGGGATGGGGCAGCCACAGCTTCTCTGGGCACCCTGTGCCAGCGCCTCAGCACCCTCATGGTGAAGAATTTCTTCCCAATGTCCATTTTTAATACCTAAATATTAAGAAAAAATGTAATTCTATTTTCTGTCTGATGCTGTTGCTCAAGTATCCATCAGTGAATGTGAATGCATTCAGACTGACCCCAGACACAGTGTATGTGCTGCGCTCGCACTGCTGTGTCATACTCACACCAAGGAAATGGGAAAAAGGTATCATTGCTAAATATTTGTGCATGTGGCAAAAGGCAGTTTTCAGTGCTTGGTAGCTCTGTGATGCAGCTGGGTTTGAAATGACACAATCTGCTACACAGAATGGTTTCCTTTTGTTTCTGGGGAAAAAAATCCCAACCTGAAACTTTGCATCTGGATAGGGACTGAGGGAGTATTAGGATATTTAGGTGCAGGGTTTTGTTTCAAAGCCATTTTGCATAAAAACATGGTCTAAATTATGAGGCCTTTTCAGAAGTTTTGGCCCTTTTCCTGTTCCTTGACTTGCTGCAGTCACTGGACCTGTGTTTCTGTTTCCACTGGACCTAAGTTTCTAGGTACATGATGCATGGTCAGACCTTGCTCATAACCTCTCTAGAGCTCCCTTTTTGAACCCCCAAGAGTCTGCTGTGTATGGTTCTTAACCCATTTCACCTGCTTTCTTCCTAAGGGCTGTTTTTAACCCATCTGTACTGATCTTGCAAAGGTTCCATAGCCAACCCCTCTTTGCTTTGAGTAGCACAAGAAATACATGGAGAAATACCTGTACTCATTTTCTTGCTTTCTCTTCTCTGAACACGCAGTAGGCTTGGATCCTTTCCATGGCTTTTCTTCTAACAAACATCTGTCCTCTCATTAATTTCTGTGTTTTCTCTCTTATTTTCTGTGTTCTTCCCCCACTTCAGGCAGCTCAATTCTTCCCTAGCCAGCTGTTTTGGGAAAACACACTTATCAGTTAACAAAGCCGTTTCTTTTCCCTTTAAGCTTTCTTAGCCCTGGGGTTCAAAGCACAAACACAACCACTTGTTTTCCCATTTGAAGGCTTTCTACCTTTCTCCACATCTTTGTGCCCTTCAGACAAAGTGAGCAGGACTTGTTTTCCTGGTGCAGATAGCAGCTGGGAGAGTCCTGTAATTAAGTTTCACTCTTCTCGTATGTACAGGCAACACATGGTGTGTGCTGTGATTCTTCTTGCTACGGCTGATTGTTGTACATTGGGGCATTCAAGGATACAGCAATTCCATATAATCAACTGCAGTTATTAGACAATAAACAGCTATCCCAAACTGAATTAAAGAGCTGGTGCAATGTCATGTAGACAAAAAGGAACATCCTGCTGAACAGAGATCATAGAACTTCATGATGTTGGCATTGGTCCACCTCACAAGGGTGTCGTTGTATTAAAGGGAGCTCAGGGAAATTATATGTACATTCTTAGAAGGAGAAATGACCTAATCATTTTGTACCTTCCCAGGGACTAATATTAATGGTGCTCTCCAGACTGGTGCAAAGCTGCTGAATGACTACATTGCTCAGAATGACATTGACGCCAGGAGTGTCTCTCTGATCATCTTCCTCACGGATGGGAGGCCCACTGTTGGGGAAACACAGTCATTAAAAATCCTCAGCAACACCAAGGATGCCATCCGCGATAAATTCTGCCTCTTCACCATCGGTATCGGCAATGACGTGGACCACAAGCTGCTGGAGAGGATGGCACTGGAGAACTGCGGCATGACACGGCATTTCCAGGAGGATGAGGATGCAGCCAGCCACCTCAAAGGGTTCGTTCTGCTTTTCTGTGCTCCTGTCTGCTTATATTGGGAACTCTGGGCAAGGGGTTGGGAAGGACAATCCTCTAAGGGACAACACAATGGCTGGGAGTCTCCCTGAGGCTCAACTCTGGTTAGAGAGGCAGAGTATGCTCAGATACTGAGGATGCCTACCCAGAAATTGTCTCCTTCCTAGCAGACCCCCTGGGCTGTGCTGGAGCTTCTCAGGCCCTCACACCAAGGCGTCTGTTTCTCTAATTCAGACTGTTGTTTGGGGCATGTAAAGCTGGAGAGATGAGAGGCATGAGTGCCACGTCTCTGCAGGTAGAGGGATGGAGGAAAGGATGCATTGCTCCTTTCAAGTTGACAACATAAATGGTATCGAAGGGCTCAGGAATGAAGGTCCCAGTTTGGGACAGGAAAGTATTTCTGTGTTTTTTGAAAACCGTAACTTCTTGCCCAAATTTCAGAATATTCAACTTTGAAAAATACTGAATGATCATTCCCTCATTCCCTCATTCTTTGGGACCCAAACTCCTAGCAAGTTTCCTGTAATCCTCATCATTCACTAGGACCAGGCGTCATGCTTCTCTTCTGTGAGGGGGGAGCTGTAGTCCAAGGGGAGATCCTAGTGAGATCAACAAAAGCATCTCTGAACCACAGCTCTGTCTAAAATGCCAGGCTGTGTGTCAGTATTTCCAGGCAAAGATGTTTGGCTTTCACTCCCAAAATGCTAATGGTTTGGACCTCAGGAACCAAAAAGAGATAGTCATTGGGCACAGACCTCTTGCCTAGCTAGTTTCTAATTCACCTGGAGCAGTGAGACCACGCACCTCCCACCAGAGCTTTTCTTTCTGTGATGGTTATGTGTGAACAAGAGTATCTTCCTTTTAAACTGGATTTTGTAGAGCCATCTGCCACTCTACCCATGTCCTTTGCCCATATATTTTGGATAGCAAGTGGCATTCCCTGGCAAATAAAGGATGCACTGATTGATTGCAGGTACCCAGCACTGCAAATACTTGTTGAAAGACCTCCAGCTGATAAACAGCTCACTGTTTATCAAGCTTAGTGATGGCAAACCCGTTTGGCATCTGGTGCCAAATCTATACAATCACTTGCTGGAGACCAGTACAAATCACTGTTATAGGGAAAATCTACATGGATGCCAGTGTAGTTTCTGAGTTTTGTGGTCAGTGGGTTGTATTTGTACACAGATACTTACAGAGTCATTGAAGGGTTAGGGTTGGAAAGGACCCTAAGATCATCCAGTTCCAACCCCTCCTGCCATGAGCAGGGACACCTCACACTAAACCGTGGCACCCAAGGCTCTGTCCAGCCTGGCCTTGAACACTGCCAGGGATGGACAAGTCCTTGCATTGTGCTGTAAGGCAGGTTGTATCTCTCACTCCACCATTTGTTACAGCCCAGGTGTTATTTCCAGAGAGTTCTCAGGTTTAGTTCACTCCTGGTTTAAAACATGACGATGTCTCTGCATCAAAGACTCTGAATGCTCAGAAAGACTTCAGAAGAAAGTCAACCAATTCAGCCTTTGGGAGTCCTTGGAGAGAGAATAAAGCAGAAAGTGTGACTTTAGCTTCCAGACAACCTGTTTAAGCAGATGTGAGAAATAAATGCAGCTTGATCTAAACAAGGGCTGAGGCCAAATCTTTGTTTAGTCACCAAATTAGGCTCAAATGACTTGCCAAGTTAGGGAGAGTCTGGCATTTAAATGGAAAATAGGCATTCCTGGAGCAGCTTGGGAAGATCCATCAAAAGCACATTGCTGTAGGGCAAACACAGTACTGTAAACTTGGGCCTTGACCCCTTGTAAAGGCTTTTTGGCTCCTCCAGTGTGAGGTATTCACAGAACTATAGTAGGTCTCCTTAACAAGGCATTGTAGGGTTAAGCTCTCTCATTCCATGGAAGCCATGTCTTGCTCCAACAGAAAACTGGGGGGGTGAGTGTTGGAACTAGATGATCTTAAGGTCCTATCCAACCAAACCATTCTATGACTCTATGAACAAGGTAGCAATGAGTTCTCTTCTGCCAGGCTGATTGTATTTAGTAGTTAGGATTCCTCCATTCCATGGAAATGTCCTCATTGATGGGGGATAGTGAGATTCCTTCTTCATTGGCCCTCAGAAAACTGTACTCCTGCCTGTCCTACATTGACCATTTCAAATGGTTTTATCCAGAGCTCTTCCTGTGATACAGAATCTTTGCTTCAGATACTCTCCAGATTTGGGGAAGCTAGTGTTACAGTTTCTGGCTCTGGAATACCATGTAGGTGACAGCATCTCTCCTGAGTACGTTTTGAAATAACTACAGTGAACCTGAGAAGCCAAGAACTTACTTTTAATGCACAGTTCCTCTTAAGCAAATGTAAGTGGTCACAAACAACTCTTTGCAGAGCTCTGGAATCATAGCAGAAGGAAGGTGACTTCCAGGCCATGCTGGGATGCTTCTGAATGTACTGAAGAGACTTTGTCTAGATGCCTTAGACACTGAAAAGTAAAATAAGGCAGAGAACAACTTTGGTTAAAAGGGATCTCTGGAGGTCATGGAATCCATCCTTCTGTTCAGAAAAGGGCCAACTTCAAACTTAAGTGAGGTTTCTCAGGCCTTGTCCACTCAAGTTTGAAAAACCTCTAAGGGCAGAGACTTTCCCCATCTCTCTGGGCCCACTTACAGGGGATGCAGTACTTAAATTTAGGGCCTGGTAACTCTAACTGCTCCTGAACGTCTCAGGAGCCATATTAGACAGTCTGGCTGCATCCTTGGCCATGTGTAAGTGCGAGAGTGCGTGCATACACCTGGATGAACAGTACTAATGGTGAGAAATTTGCCTTTCCTTAAGGTTCTATGATGAAATAGGAACTCCTCTTCTCTCCGATATCCGTGTTGACTACCCTGAAGACAACGTGGAGCAAGTCACCCAGAACTTCTTCCCTAACTACTTTAATGGCTCTGAAATCATCATAGCTGGCAAACTCATCAACCGCACCTCAGATAGTCTCCATGTGGAGGTGACTGCTAGCAACTCCAAGAAGTACATCCTCCTCAAGAAAGATGTGGCTATTGACCTGCCAAGCAGGAATGATATCAGAGGTGTCCCTGGCTTGGAAGATGACAAAGGTGATATAAATTACATTGAGAGG